TATACTTTTTATGTCAGGTTGGAACAGCACTTGCCTGTTATAGTTACCATCAAGTTCCTCATATTTTTCAAACCAGATGTTTTCAGGAGAAAGCAGAGTGGCATTTGATGTGGAAGGAAGGAGTTTATCACACCAGTTGTGATAAAGAAAACCACACTCAAAGCTATAAAACTTGGGAGAGAGTGAAGCTTAAAATATCTCCAGAGGGAGGAAATTAATTCCAAATAATGAGCACCAAAAAAAATAGAAAGACGATTATTCACATTAATATTCTATTAATTCTAATTACTGACAATTGTGCAATTTTAGAAGATCTCATAATCTGTTCATTTCATGTATATCTGACTTTCAAAATAACACTGTGAGTTAGGAATTTATTATCTGTGTTCTTCAGATGAGAAAAGTAAAGAGAAATAGGGCTACTTGGAAGTTACAGATCTGTTTACTGTCAGGATGGAGCCTGGGACCAGGATACCTGCTTCCAGTTGCATGAATATATGTGACTTCTCACAATGTGTGTTGTGTGATCCATAGACTGATACCACTGCAGTTGTTCAATTCAGAGAACAGTCACTAATCTCTTAAACTTTAGGAGTTTAGTTCAAATCCTATGTTTCTGAGCATCGGGTTTTTTTTCCCAAAAATACTTTCATATAATTATTTCTATATTTTTAAAATATTTTATTTATTTATTTATTTGAGAGGTAGAGTTACAGACAGTGAGAGGAAGAGACAGACAGAAAGGTCTTCCTTCCATTGGTTCACTCCCCAGATGGCCACAATGGCCGGAGCTGCACCAATCTGAAGCCAGGAGCCAGGAGTTTCTTCCAAATCTCCCAAGTGGGTGCAGGCGCCCAAGGACTAGGTCATCTTCTACTGCTTTCCCAGGCCACAGCAGAGAGCTGAATTGGAAGAGGAGCAGCCGGGACTAGAACCAGCACCCATATGGGATGCTGGCGCCACAGGCTGAGGATTAACCTGCTGCGCCACAGTGCTGGCCCCTATTTCTATATTCTTAACAAAATATATTAAGCAAGCAATCAGAATTCTGTTATCTTCATTTACTAGTAAAGGAAGCAGGAAGTTAAATTACACATCTGGGGCCTGCATTGTGGCAAAGTGAGTTAAGCCACCTCCTGAAATGAAAGCATCCATACTATATGCAGTGCAGGTTTGCAGCAGTGGAAAATGGCCAAGTCTCTGGGCCACTGCACCCACTCCTGGATGGAGTTCAGGCTTCTCTCTCTCTTCTCTCTCTCTCTCCCTTTCAAATAAGTAAAATCTTTTTAAAATAAAATTACATATCTGAAGTCAAATGAACTGAAAGATGGCATGGATTGGAGGAGAGTTTAGGTCTCCCGGTGCTGTTCTGGGGTCTGTGTGCTATGCCCACTGGCTTGTGGGAGGCTGAGAAAATCTTGCACAGCCAACACTGCTTTCTTCATGGAGTCCAGATAATCCATGACAATCTGGCACTGGGACTCGGGTTTGAGTCCGTGTTTGCTGACTCCTTCATTATTTTCTAATGCTCACCTGTTGTGATCACACCCCTTCTGTACTGTGTTCCTTTCAATTCTGGCCCATCAGGGAGCTGTGATGTGCGCAGTTTAATACTGGCATATGGGTTAAGTCTAGAACTTCACCTCCAGTGACCACTCTACCCCTCCAGCCAAGTACGTTTTTGAGCAGGTAGTGTGAGCCGGTCACTATGTGAAGTGCTTTATGTGCATTTCCCTATTTAAGCCTCACCATACTATCATTATCATCCTTATTAAATAGGGTGGAAATGACCTGGCCTGACTTATAAAGTTGGGAAGTAACAAACCCGTGATCCAAACCCAGACAGTTTGACTCAAGTCCTGATACTGAACCGCCATGCCACTTGTCTACGTCTCTACCTTGAAGCTGTGTGGTTTTCAGTTTTGTCAACGTGTCAATCTCTAAATAAGAAGAATGCCGCTTTTTTTCTTTGGGGGCATATCTCTCTCACCTTTCTTTCTCCCTCTCAATTCAGTTCTCCCCAGCGTCAGTCATTACCGGATGATGTTTAACCTCAGAGGCAAACCCCAGTGACAGGTCTCATTTTCTGGGAAACCCCACAGATGTAACAATATTTCCCTTGTGTAAACTGGCATTTGATCTTGGGCTCCTCAAGGCCCCCTGTTGGCCTCCAATGCAGCGCTGACTCTGCAAAGCAGTGTGTGATGAATTGCACGTTCCTCCAGCGTCTATGCTTTAAGAACAGAGTCATTCATCCACATTCCAAAGTTTCTGTGTCACTGTCAATGATGTCTGATCCCGTTTGTAATCTGGTAAGGCGAAAGAGTCCCCCAAATGTCAAAGTGCGTATTGTGACACAGCTTTCCCCAGTCCGCATTGCATCCTCAAATGTAACCGCATGGAAAAAGCTGAACAGTACTGAACGTCGCATAGTCTAGCTTCACTCAGGTCCTGATGGGCATGGAGAACTGGTAATCTTTTGAGAGTCACCAAGCTAACTGAAAAATTGCCAGGATGTAGTTCTTTTAATAGTTGCCAAATGCCTTTATGAGAACCAGGAATGCACTTTAGAGATTCTTATGCTATTTCCTCCACATTTCCTGTGCATTAAAACTCAGCGCACCACAGTGTGCCTTGATCTTATAAAACACAGGCTTTTCATGAGCTGACCAGGTGTTTTTCACTAGGGTTTGCACTTTCAATGTGAAGACTTTTGTTTGAAATCGTTAATACTTTATTCAATGTAGGACACATAGTACTGAGTAACACTACAAGTGACTGCGGGTACAGGAAAATGCGAATTTCTGCAAATTTAAATGTCACTCTGGAAAGCCAGTCCTGGAATGCATTTTAATGTGTATATGCTAGTCAAATAGCCCTGGATACACAAAATCATTAGAACAGCAGGAGGATCAGAACCGCGACCTGTTAACTTGCTAAGCATTTGTCTGAACTTAGTGCAATTTGCTGAGATTACCCTGCCTTGGTAGCAAAACATATAAAAATGAAAATAGTTAAGCACTGGAAAGGCACACTGCAAGAAGGACTTCTTTTTTAATTAAAGAAGCCTGGGTGTATAGAAAAGAGAGTGCTAAGGTTGCAGATAGAAGGCTTGATGCTGCGGAGCTGTTGGGAGTTTGGGAGACAGCACTTATTGCCCTGAGAATTAGTCAAGGTTTCTGTTGCCTTTTTTTTTTTTTTTTTTTAAGATTTATTTACTTATTTGAAAGGCAGAGTTATAGAAAGGCAGAGGCAGAGAGACAGAGAGAGAGGTCTTCCATCCGCTGGTTCACTCCCCAAATGGCTGGCTGCAACAGCTGGAGCTGGGCCTATCCAAAGCCAGGAGCCAGGAGTTTCTTCCAGGTCTCCCACATGGGTGCAGGGGCCCAAGGACTTGGGCCGTCTTCCACTACTTTCCCAGGCCATAGCAGAGAGCTGGATTGGAAGTGGAGCAACTGAGACTTGAACCAGCGCCCATATGGGATGCCGGTGCTGCAGGCAGTGAGTGGCTTTACCCTGCTAAGCCACAGCACCAGCCCCTCCATTGCCTTTAAAACTCAAATTTCCAGGGCTAGCTGCTCAGTTCTGCTGCCCTGACTGGCTCCTCTGACTTTAAAGGCCTTTTCCTAGCCTGTGATCAAATCCTTGGCGCATGATCCTCTGGGCTCAGGCCCCTTTGCTGTAGTGAATGGCAATCTACCACTGTTAGCTTGGCTTCGGGATGGGAATGGTGTGTAAATCTTGAGCTTAATTGTTTGACTCACTGCATGTCCATTTCACGCTGCTACTGCCACTCGGGTGTCTAGAGGGCCGTGAAAAGAGCCACCGTTCTGCTCACTGTGGTCTGGGGGCTGAGAACATTCCCTAAGTATACAGACAGGAATCTTTCCTGCTGGACCACAGACTGCTTTGAGGCATCTCAGAACAGAGGAAGGTGTGCTGTCCACCTAAATGCTGACAGATAGCGGGCGCTGGGTGGCCTTGCAATTGCCGGTGCTTGCTTGGCAGAGGCTAAACTCAGTTTTGATATTCTGCTCCTCCACAGGCAGTTCCTGTCCAAGGGAGCAGTGACTCACAGGTCTCCCTCCCCATGATCCAGGCCCCACAGGTCGGGCAAGTCCAGCTCTACTCTCTTGCAAACTATTGTTTGTACCTCCATGCCATGCTCTGTTATTTGTGTATAATTTTTTTTTTTGAGAGGCCAAGAGAGATGGACACACAGACAGCTCCCATCCAGTAGCTTCCCCTAAATGCTGGCAATGGCTATAGTGGAAGCTGGGAGCCAGGAACCAGTAAGTCACTCCAGGTTTCCACCATGGGTGGCAGGAACCCAATTATTTGAGCCATCATTGCTGTCTCCCAGGGTCTGCAATGGCAGGAAGCTCCAGTCAGAAGCCAGCACAGGCATTTAGGCCAAATGACTGCCCTGTGTTTTTCATCCTTAAAACACATTTCAGGGGGCCAGTGCTGTGGCTCAGCAGGTAAAGCTGCCATCTGCAGCACTGGCATCCCCATATGGTGCACTGGTTTCAGAGTTTCCGAATTGATCCCATGTTTTGATTAGACTCCCTTGATGATCTGCATGAGACAGCAAGCAAAGAAGACCAAAATACTTGGGCCCCTGCACCCATGGGGGAGACCCTAAGAAGCTCCTGGCTCCTGGCCTCAGACCACACAGCTCAGGCCATTGCAGCCATCTGAGGAGTAATCAGCGGATGAAGCTCGCTCTCTTTCTCTCTCTCTATCCCTGTAACTATGCCTTTCAAACAAATACATCTTAAACACACACGCACACACACTTCGCCTTATAAAACCAGAGACAAACCTAAGAGATGCTGGCAGCTATTTTCGATCAAATCCTACCAATTCTGGACCCAACCTGCCTTCCCCTCACCCCATTCCAGCTGCGCCCGCCCCATCCCCAGGCCTCTGCGCAGCTGCAGTGGCCGCCCTGTGGCGGGGAGGGGAGGCCTGCGTCACCTCTACTGCGCAGGTCGTGGTTACTCACCCGGTCATTGGGCAGCCAGGCCCTCTCGCCTACCATGTGGTGCTCATTTTCCTGCCTCATTTCAGGTGGAGAGCACAGCTAGAGAGAACCGCGAGGCTGTTGAACGCAGCGGAGCCGAGATTCTTCCAAAATTCCCAGAAAGGCGACACAGAGGCCGGCCGCGGAAGAAATCGGCCTAACTTGAGCAGCTCTGAACCCCATCACCTCAGCGAGCAGGCGGTTCAATGGGTAATGGACGCCAGGGGCTAAGCAGGGCTGAGGGCTGGAGAGGTTTCCTGGCAAGACCAGGGTCAGGAAGGAGGCTGCCTGGCCTGGAGCCTTAGGGAGGGGATGGTGGAGGGTACTCGGGCAGCGGAGTTCGTCGTTCTGTATTTTTTGCTCTTCTCGTTGTTCCGGTTTTCAAAGCCCATCTTGGGGTCGTTTAGGATAGCGCTTTGCAAGTCCAGGTTCAGGACTTCTTTGCGCCTTTAAAAATTACTGAGAACTGCATAGAACTGTGTATGAGTTTCATCCATCAGTATGTACCGCCTCACAAAACAGGGAACATTACGACTATCTTTCTTAAAACACTCGTGAACCTCTTAGATGTTGACATTTTTATGAGATTGAACAGTTTTTTCCAAAACAGAAGAGCGGTATTGTTTTACATTTTTGCATTTTTTTTGTTCTCCCATCTCTTAAACAGTTCTGTCTCTGGTGCTATCATATGTCATACAGCTCCTGGAAAACCTCACTGGACACCCAGAGAGAATGTGACAAGATAAGGAACGTCTTGGCATTACTATGAAAACAGCTTGGACGTCCCAGGCTGCCTCTAAGAGTCTTGGGAACCCCAGGGGCCCCCAGTTTGAGAACCCCTGGATTAGGAGGTTGGAAGGCGGAGTTCTCTCCGCGGTGAAGCAGGCCACCGCGTTGCCGTTTGGCTGATGCCTTATAGCACACAACTATAGGTGAGGGTTTCCAAGGAATCATCCTTTTGATAAAATTCGTCGTGGGAAAACCATAGTCATTTTTGGATATCTGCCAGAGATTGGGTCCAGATTCTTTGAAAATGCTCAAGTCTGTTACATAAAATGGTGCAATATTTGCATATAACCTATGCACATCTTCCCTTACACTTTAAATAAACCCTAGATTATTTATAATAGCTAAAAGAAGTGCCATGTAAATACTTGACATACTGTATTGTTTAGGAATTGATAACAAGAAAAAATAGTCTATAAGGTAAATACTGATGCAGTTTTTTTTCCTGAATGGTTTCCATCTCTGGCTAGTTATATTCATGGGCTTAGAACTGCTAGTATAGAGGGCTGACTCTCCCTCACTAATCACTATACCCTTATTTTTTTGAAGGTGTAGCAGTTTGTAGGAAATGGAATTCCCCGGGTTTCCCTAACCCCCTTTGACGACTCTTTTTCAGTCTCCTGTACTGGCTTCTCCTCTACCTAAATGTGCAGAGGAGAGGAGGAAAGAGAGGGAATTGCACTCATGGTAGTCTGGACAGAGCAAAGTCTCCAAGTACAAGCAGGCATCTTGTCTGTCTGATCTGGGCAGCTTTCTGGGTTGCAGCGAGAAGACCGGTAGGACTTCTCAACACAGGAGAATCTGCAGTGTTCTGAGTGTTCGCTCGCTTTACGCAGTCACCCCAGACGGTTTCGTGCAGTCCCACGGCTTTCTGTCCTATCTTCAAAACACTCTAAGGACCACTAGTGCCTCTGAGTCCTGGAATGAAAATATAATTGTCTACGTGATGTCTTCCCTTTTAAGTCTTGAAGACAACTCAGATTTAACAAAGCTGAAACTGCACTCTCTGTCTTCACTCAGTATACACACTCAGCCTTGTTCCTTCTTTAGCTTTATCACCTTAGAAATCGGCACCATAGTCCTCTAAGTTGCCCAGACTTACAAATCTGCAAGTTGTTCTTGAGATCTACTTATCTAGACCCAGACATCCCAGTATTTCACCTAGTCTTGCTGATTGTGATTGCACATTGTAGCTCTAATACGTTAGCATTTTTCAGTGCTACTAACCTAATCTGGGAGTACAATCATATTTTGCCTGGGCTACTCACCAGCATCCTTTCTAACTATTCTTAAATCCACATACATTATCATCTTCTCTACTGTCTCCAACTAATTTTCTTTAAAAATGTATTTATTTACTTGAAAGTCAAAGTTACACAGAGAAGGAGATGCAGAGAGAGAGAGAAAGAGAGAGAGAGAGAGAGAGATCTTCCTTCTGCTTGTTCACTCCAAAGCCATGAACCCATCCAAAGTTGCGCCCATCCGAAGTCATGAACCAGGAGCTTCTTCTGGGTCTCCCATGTGGCTGCAGGGGTCCAAGGACTTGGGCCATCTTCTGCTTTTTTCCCAGGCCACAGCAAAGAGATGGTGGAGCCGGAACACGAACCAGTGCCCATAAGAGATGCTGGCACTGCAGTGGCAGCTTTACCCGCTATAGCACAGTGCCAGCCCCTCCAACTAATTTTAAAACATCATATATGTATATATCACTCTCCTGTCTATAATTTTTCCATGGATTTTCTGTATTCTTAGGCTGTTCTGACCCTGTCTGCTTTGGCTGTCTCCATTACTCTGTCTTCTCCACCCACAATTGATTTCTCCAGTGGTCCACATTGATGTGTTGAGCATTACACCTTGGTCCAGGCACTAATTACAAGGCCAAGAATCCTATTCTTGTGAAAATTATATTGAAGAGTATGGAGTTGAGCTACAAGCAGCCATACCCATAAATGTCCAAGATAATTTCCTATGGTAAAATTGCTATGAAGAAAAAAAATGTGATAGAAAAGAATTACAAGCTGCTTTAAAGTGTGAGGCCAGGGGAGACCTGTCTGTGAAGCAGACTCAGAATCACAAGGGGACCAGATCAGCCACGTCACTATATGGGAACAGAGCATTCCAGGTGGTAGTCAACACCAGTCAATGGAAAACATAGACCAGTGTAGCTGGTTCACAGTGTTAGTTTTCTATTGGCTGCTATGAAAAGGCCGGCGCCGCGGCTCAGTAGGCTAATCCTCCTCCTGTGGCGCCAGCACCCCAGGTTCTAGTCCTGGTTGGGATGCCGGATTATGTTCCAGTTCCTCCTCTTCCAGTCCAGCTCTCTGCTGTGGCCCGGGAAGGCAGTGGAGGATGGCCCAGGTGCTTGGGCCCTGCACCCGCATGGGAGACCAGGAGGAAGCACCTGGCTCCTGGCTTCGGATCGGCACAGCGCGCCAGCCGTAGCAGCCATTTGGGGGGTGAACCAACGGAAGGAAGATTTTTCTCTCTGTCTCTCTCTGTCTAACTCTGCCTGTCAAAGAAAGAAAGGAGGAAGGAAGGAAGGAAGGAAGGAAGGAAGGAAGGAAGGAAGGAAGGAAGGAAGGAAGGAAGGAAGGAAATAAGGAAGGAAGGCAAGTAACACAGACTTTATTTGTGGCTTAAAACAACAAAAATGTACTTTATTACAGTTCTGGAGATCAGAATACTAAAATGCATCTCCTTAGGCTAAAATTGAGGTTTCACCAGGGCTATGTTCTTTCCTGGAGGTTCTGGGGAGAAAATATTAATTTGCAGCTTCCAGCTTCTGGTGGCTTCCTATATTCCTTAGCTCATGGCCCTCTACCTCCATCCTCAAAGCCAGTAACATGAGAGTCTTTTTCTTTTTCTTTCTTTCTTTTTTCTTGTGGAATTTGAGGTAAAGAATTTTAAAACAGCCAATATTTTAAAAACATTTAGCAAGGGGCCGGCGCCCTGGCACAGTAGGTTAATCCTCCATCTGTGGTGCCAGAATCCCATATGGGCGCTGGTTCTGGTCCTCGCTGCTCCTCTTCCAGTCCAGCTCTCTGCTGTGGCCTGGGAAAGCAGTAAAAGATGGCCCAAGTTCCCAGGCCCCTGCACCTACATGGGAGACCAGGAAGAAGCACTTAGCTCCTGGCTTCGGATTGGCGTAGCTTTGGCTGTTGTAGCCATTTGGGGAGTGAACCAACAGAAGGAAGACCTTTCTGTCTGTCTCTCCCTCTCACTGTCTGTAACTCTACCTCTCAAATAAATAAATAAAAATCTTTAAAAAAGCACTTAGCAAAAAACTGTAAATAAGAAAATGCTTTTGTGCTATAAGAAATATTTCTAACCTGTCTACCTAATGTATATAGTAAATATAAGATGATTTTCACAAATCACATACAATCTTATTATTTTACAGTTATTCATTTATAAATGCCTATGAACATTAATATCATCCTTAGCACAGTTATTAGAATACAAGGTATGCAGATACAATGATCTTGGTATCATTTTGCTACATGCTGTGTGAAATGAATGTACAAAATATTACCATAATTTTCTCATAAGATGGTTTGAGAAGTCTATGAAATAAGATAGAAAAATAACATTCCATAATAAGTGGACAGTAAGGATTATTGCTATTGTATCTGTGTTATATATTTTAATTACAATATTTATTTGGTATTAGTATAATTCTATAATTATACTAGTCTTAATTTATCAAGTAATATGAAGATACTTCAAAAAGTTTATGGAAATGAAATGTGTTCCTCTTGGTGCAAAAATTTTTGAAATTAATGCAAAAAGTTAGTGGAAAATGTGTATTATGAAAAAACTATACATGGATTCCAAATATTTTTGCACCAAAATAAATTTGCATTTTACTTCCATTTTCTACAAACTTTTTGAGTACCTTTGTATAATATAATTGAATTTTCTTAATGATATATTTAAAATATAAACAAATAATATAATACTCATACATCATTATTTTTTTCAGTATCTTCCTGCTGTGGGTTGAATTATGTGCCACCAAATTCAAATGTTGAAGCTGTAATACTCATTACCTCAGAATATGACCTTATTTGGAGATACGGTCATTTCATAGGCTATCAAGTGAAAATGAGGTTGTTAGGTTGGGCTCTAATCCAGTATGACGTATGTCTTAATGAAAGCGGAAAAATTGGAGACTGTCATGTGAAGACAAATGTAGACTGGAAAGTTGCTTAAGTCAAGGAACAGCAAGGACTGCCAGCAAATCCCAAGAAGTTAGGTGAGAGGCATAACAGATTCTTCCTCTTCAATGAAGAAATACCAACCTTGCCAGCACCTTGATCTCAGTCTCTTCGCCTCCAACACTATGAGAAAATTAATTGTCATTGTTTAAGCCACTTGGTTTGTGGTGCAGTTGTCCCCAGTTATCTGCAGTTTTGTTTACAGAGCCACGGCATCTTTTGCTACACTACAGAACTCAATGATGAGGACTTCAAAAAATTCACACAAGAATGGTATTTAAAGATTAAGTCTGGGGCTGGTTCAGGTAGGCACCAACTTCAGCACAATGCAACACCTCCATGGTTCACTCTTGCTCCCAAGTTGCTGAAAACATCTAGTGTGGCCAGAGAGAACCCTGGCTTTTCTTATCTCAAAGATGAGATAGAAAGAGGAGGAGGAGGAGGAGGAGGAGCAGGCGGCGGTGGCGGTGGTGGCGGCGGCTGTCAGCTTAGCTGCCCATGGCCAACCATGGTACAAAAATATTAGATGAAAAATTCCAGAAAGAAGCAACTCATGAGTTTTGAATTATGTGCCCTTTTGATAGCATGATAAAACCTGGAGCCATTCTACTTCACCCCACCCAGGATGTCAGTTATCCTTTGTCCAGTGTATCTAGGTTGTATACACTACCTGCCCTTCAGTCATTTAACGGCCACTAGTCATCAGACTGAATGTTACAGTATTGCAGTGCTTGTGTTCAAGTCACAGGTACATAGTAACCTAATGCTATATCATAATGTCTACAGTATTCATTTCACTTCATCTCACCACATGTGCACTGTATCAGTTCTCACCACAAAAGGGTGAATAAATATAATATTTTGATATGGAGAAACAGAGGCTGCATTCATGATTTTTACTACAGTATATTGTTAGAATTGTTCTATTTTATTATTAATTATTGCTGTTAGTATTTTACTGTGCATAATTTATAAATTAGTCTTTATAACAGATATGTATATTGTATATATATATATATATGAAAAATCATAGAATACAGAGGGTTCAGTACTATCTTTGTGGGGCCAGTGTTGTGGCATAGCAGGTTAAACCACAGCCTGAAAAGCTGGCATGCTGTATGGGCACAATTCAAGTCCCAGCTGCTCTAATTCAGATCCAACTCCCTGCTAATGCACCTGGGAAAGTAGGAAAGCAGAATAAGGTGGCCCAAGTAGTTGGGACCCTGAATCCCAGATATGAAGTTCCAGGCTTAGCCAGGTTTAGTCTCTGCCATTGCAATCATTTGGGGAGTGAACCAGCAGATGGAAAATCTCTGCCTTTCTGTTTCTTTCCTTGTGTTACTCTACCTTTCAAATAAATAAATATTTTTTAAAAAATACTGTCCATGGGTTCAGGTGTCCACTGCAGAACTTGGAAGGTAGCCCTACTCTGCTTTATCATGGCCACCCTAGCAAACTGATGCCCTCTCTACTGGAAAATGAGGAAGAATGTCCAGATAGGTTTCAGGGCACAGCAGCATAGGCAGAGACACCAAGGGTGTTTTCCTGTCTTTCTCTTTGATCACTGCTGAAATTCCATTGTCTTCCCAGGTCTAGTCCAAAAGCCTTTTCCACCACAAAGACTTTCCCGGGATTCTGGTCAGAAGTATGTTCTTCCTCTTTCATGCTCTCTACATAGAAAGATAAGCATATTTCCACAGCTCATCCTTTCTCCCTATAATCCATTCTGCCCCTGAAGTCAGATTTATTTTGCTAAATTTTATTTAATCTTGCTCTTCTGTCTTAGTTAATTTTTTATCCCAGCCATCACCCATTCAATTCTAAGAGTTTTTGAGAGCAAGAAATATCTTGCTTATTTGAAGTTTCAGTTCCAACCCCTACTAAGTAGCACAGAGAACAATGCTTATATGAAGTATATACTACATGCTTGGTAACTGTTTGACATATTGAACTGATTTGTACATCAATATTTCTTTATCTTAACTGTACTAAGAGAACATTTCAGAGAAGGAGGAACTAGAATGAGTTGGATAACCAAAAGTAAGTACCCAAGAAATGATTTTTTTCTTGTTGAGGTTTCTGGAAAGAGAACTTGTGGCCAAAAAAGACAGTCTGGGGATATTGGGGATATTGAGGATTCCAGGGCACAGAGCCAGTCAAGCAGACTAATTTTGTTCAGTTGCGGTGGGGATGGGACTGGATCAGTGGCCTTGAGAGCAATACAGGGCTTGGAGTATGAAGGTTGGCCAGGTTGGAAATGCTGGCTGTCACAGAGGGAAGGAAGGTAGGGTTATGATGACAAAAACAGATGAGGGCCAGGGGTTGTTTGGGATGTGGGGGGGGGGGGGGGGGAAGGGGAATGGCTGAAAGGGGAACCAAAGATTTGTTTCTGTCTAGCGACAGACCAGGCAGGAGGAACTGGGATTATACCAGAAGTGAACCTGAGGCCAGGGTAGAAGTAGGTTAATTAATGTTTTTCAAACTAAAAATCAATAAATGTATCTGAACAAAACTATAGAATCTGAAACAGGAACGACTTGAGAAAATGCATCGTTGCTGTTGGTATTGACAAGGTCATTATCTGTGGGATAGGCTTGGGCTGACCATTTTCTTTCTTCTACCTTCTGTCATTGTTTCCTTTTGTCTAGCTTGAATACGGAGCTGAAACTTTTTAATTACTAGGTTTTGTCCTAGGAGCAGATGAATTGATTTTATATTTCTTTTTATTAAATGGCAATGTATTGATTGTCTTTGACCCTTAATGGATTTTTTCCTACATGACTTTAAGATTCCACCCTTGCTTTAATAGACTCTATATTTAGACCATTTAAATTCAAGGGAATTTCTGCTTTGCTTGAGAGCACCTTATCTCTCCCTTAATGGCCTAAGGAATTTTGCTTATGTCCTCCTCCCTTCTTCTTATAAAGTGTAAATGAGCAGGAGTTCTGGAGGGTTTTTTCCACTGGATACTTCGATCTGGCACAAGAATAACCCTAAAATGAATCTCTGAAATTTGAATTAGCTTGAATTTTTATTTTTATTTTTGGGCCTTGTTAATTCATAGGAGTGGGGAAGGCAATGGTTAACAGGAAAAGTATGAGTCAGCCATAAAGACTTATAAGACACTGTCCGTGTCATTGGGCTATTTGCTCAAACTAACTGTACAGTAGGCTAACCCTAAGCATGAATTAGATAGCAGTACAGCCTGTGTCTCACATAATCTGTTCCCAAGTGTGTGTACTATAGTCATGCTATGCTTCATAAAATGTCTGCAGTGGCACATTCACTTTCGAATATTCACATATCTCCTATAGGCATACCCAGGAAGTGTGGTTTGTATTCCCAATTATGTACTTCCAAGTCAGTCTGGGAGCAGTATGCCTTCAGTCTTCCAGGAGCCAGCTTGTGTGTTGAACTGGGGACAGGTGAGCTTTTGACAAATAATGTGGAACACAATCACTTTAATGAAGGAAAAAAGTCAACTACAACTTTTTTCATCTGACCATAAAAATAAGTAACAGTTGAGAAAAACTTCTTTTGCACCCTTGTTTTTTTTTTTTTTTTAAATAAATGAACAGTTAGGGATACGTGTGTAAACACTGGGAAAAGTTGTATATTTTTAACTCACTCTTACCATTATTAAGAACACGTTGAAAGATTTTTTTTTTTTTTTAGAAATTTATTTTGTTTATTCATTTGAAAGGAAAGACAGAGAGAGAAGGTGATCTTCCATCCACTAGCATGCTTCCCAAATGGACACAATGGCCAGGGCTGGTTTAGGACCGAGCCAGGAGCCCCGTCCTGATCTCCCAAGTGGGTGGCAGGGGCACAAGTATATGGGCCATATTCTGCTCTTTTCCTAGGCACATTGGCAGGGAGTTAGATGGGAAGCAAAGCTGCTGGGGTTTGAACCCACACTCTGATAATGGGATGCTAGCATTGTAAACGGCAGTTAACCCGCTATGCTACAATGCCAGCCCCCAAAGGTATTTTTAAAGCTACCCTATGCTTAAGTTGATAAATATTTTAAAAACATGGCATAGCTGAAATGTCAGAGGAGTTTAATAGAATGCAAAGATGTAGAAAAATCTGAGGGGTCTTCAGAAAGTTCAGGGAAGGAGAGGCATTTGACCTAGCAGTTTAGACACCTGTGTTCCACATCTGAGTGCCTGCATTCAGTTCCTGGCTCTTGAAGAACAGTGCTCATGGCTCAAGTGATTGGGCTCCTGCCTCTCACACGGGAGACCTGGATTGCATTCTTGGCCCCTGGCTTTGGTCCCAGCTGGGAAGATGTTTCAGGCATTTGGGAGTGAACCAGCAAATGGGAGTTTGTCTGTTTCCCTTTCTCTCTGTCTCTCAAAAAAGAAAAAGCTAGTTCTTGGAACATGTGTCTTATGAACATTGTGTATATAAGTATTTTTGCAGGGGCTGATGTTGTGTTGTAGTATGTTAAGCAGCTGCCTGTGACTCTGGCATCCCATATGGGCGCCAGTTAGAGTCCTGGCTGTTCAGCCTTGGATCTGGCCCCCGGTAATGCGCCTGGGAAAACAATGGAAAATGGTCCAAGTGTGTGAGCGTTTGCACTTAGTGGGAGACCCTAACGAAGCTCCTGGATTCCACCTGGTCCAGACCTTGCCATTGCAGACTTTTAGGGAGTCGGTCAGCAGATGGAAGATCTCTCTTTCTCTCTCTCTTTCTCTTCCCCTACCTCCTCATTGTGCTTCTCCCTTTCTCTCTCTGTGCCTCTGCCTTTCCAATAAATAAATTTTTTCTTCAAAATAAGAGCATAGGTCCTAGAAGTTAGCAATTAAAATATATAGCTGATATTCCAATAAAAGCATTTTATTACTAATTACGGAAACAGTTTTACTTAACATTTATTTTGTATATGCTACAAGCTGCACATTTTCCACAGGACTTTATAAATATTAACTAATTTAATCCTTTAAATCTATATATGCTGCAGAAAATATTGAAACAATTTCACAAAGAAGAAATTGAAGCACAGATTAAATAATTTAACAAGATTAAATAATTA